ACATGCAGCGCCTCATTTGGGTGTGTCTGGAGTCTTGAAAGTTTGACTACCCTACGTTCTCCTACAAACGGACCCTGAGAGCTTGTTTGGAGGGTCTAGCAGGGGAGCGCAGCCACTCATATACCCTTGACCAGATAATGGTCCTCTTCTGGGGAAGGTCATCCTCTTCAAGCTTTGGGAAAAATGCACATGGAGTGGTGAGGGAGGAAGGGGACACCCGCCTAGCCAGCCAGATCAGCCGTATCAACCCTGGCGATCAATGGGGTGACAGCTGTCGCAGTCAGTGCCCTCACATCCTCACACCTCTTTTCCATGAAGAGATAGGATTAGATTCAGTCTCCCAATCTTATATGGACACAACAGTCTGACCCAAACTCACTGAACCATTATTTCTCCAGTTGGAATGTAGAAAAAAATCGCTGAACTAAATAAATATCAGGGTGAAATGTTTTTAGAGTGTGGTTTTGACAACTAAACATCTCAGAATTTCCAGGAGAGTCTCTCTTTCAAAAATCCTTGAAAGTGACCCTCCACCCCCCACCTCACATATACTCTAACTTATCCGTTTTCAAGATCTGATTTTTAGGTGAGAAGATATGAGGTTAGGATGTGGGATGCAGATTTGTGCGCATTCAGAACGTATAATTGGGTTGTTACTAAAAAGTTAAACTTAGATATCACCTCAATCCAATAATGTATAAATCAATGCATAGCCACCTGCACTTCTAGCTGGGGGAACTTACTGGAAGCAGGGAGACCTGTGGCTAGAAAGAAAAGAAGCCAAGTTCAGCCCACTGGGTCTACTTTCCAAGGCTGGGGAAACTGACAGAGAACAAAGGACAGCAGACTTAAACCACGGCCCTAGACCACACCCAGACTAGTTAAGTCCCGAGGGCTGGAAAGAAGTCCATCCGTCAGCCTGAAACTGGAGGCCACATCCTTAAGTGACTTGAGGGCAAAGTTCCCCAGTGCCATCTACTTCTCCTCACCCTGAACCGGCTCTTCTGTGAAGCAGTGCTGTAAGGGGAGAGTGAGGGGCTGTCACATTCTGAAAACAGTGTGCCGGGCACTGTCCCCGGAGTTAGTTTTTTTTACACAGATGATCCTACTAAATTCTTACAGCAAATCTGCAAGGCATAGACAATATATAGTTACCATTTGAAGTGAAGGAAAAGAAGCTGAGGGGGTCAAAAGACTCGTCTCAGGTTGCAGGATCTCCGATGGCATACCCTGAACTCACACCCCTGCCTTCGGAATCTGCATTCTCTCTGTTTGGTTTGTTTGCATGCAGTAACTATTACTGGGTTTGTTACTGTGGGTGAATATAGAAGCACATACCAAGGGAGGGAGCAAGCCAGCATTTAAGAGCTGGTCTCCTGTCTGACCCCAGCGTCCACGGTCTTGCCATGCTGCCAGGCATCCACCCTCTCATTCAGTTTCCTCCTTTTCTGATCAACCGCTAAAAACACACGCAGTTAACACACTCCAACTGAGGACGAGCAAGGCAGGCAAAGCCTGTCAAAAACTGCTGTGTATTTGCACTCTGCATTCTTTTCTGCAATGATCCATGCCTCCTTGACTTCAAACTAAATAAAAGAGGCTCACAATCCACGGTGAGAAACACTTAGTCTGGTGTCTGCGTGCTCAAGGCCACTCCGCCTAACACAGGGAAAGGAAGTGGCCTTGGATAAGAGGTGCACACAAAGGAGCTTCAGAGTCTCGAGTCAGATCAGAGGCACAGAGAACCAAGGCTGCCCAGAGGAAGGACGCCCAGAGCGGCTCCTTTGGTGTTGCCAGCTCAGGCAGCACCAAAAAGCACATGCGTACATCTGCAGAATCTTGGGTCTGCCTATACAATGATTGCACAGCCGCCATCTCTTTTCAGACCCACACCACTCTGCAAGTCAACAAGGAGTCAACAAGGCAGATTTTATATCACTTTTCCAGAGGGGCGAAAGTCAGCAGATGCTTGGGGACCTCAAGGGGCTTGCCCAAGGCCACAGAGCCAATTAGGGCAAGGTCTGGATAAGGAACCAAGCTTCCCAATGTCTCATCCAGTGTCTGTCTCCTCCAGCTTGCTTCTTCCCAAAAGCATAAGGTCAACATCCACCAGGAAAGATAATTAAATGGAAAAAAAAATACTACTAATATAACAAAGAGCAAAAGAAGGAACGGGTGTGTCAACATTTCTTCTTTCTACTTTGTATGAGTGGATTCTCCTCTCTTCAGCATAACGAAACTCCCTTCCCTTTTAAAATATATTTCTGGTTATTTCACAAGGTTATACAGTAGGACTGCTAAAAATAAATCACAGCTACACAAATCTCTCTCCTGTTTAGAATAATTGCCTGTGTCTACACGGCTGGGCCAAGTCTGGTTAGTGGACTGCATTTTCCTCTCACATAAAACTTTAGGTCTACCACATACATTTTCTCATGAACTTAAGACTTGGAACAGAACTAGGAAATGAGCTTTAGAGAAATGCAGAGGTTCTCAGACACCACAGGTGTCATGAAAGACATCCAACAGAATTCCTGGGCTCATCACCCATGGCAGGAAATGCACTAGAGGAAAAATACAAGTAGTGATGTAGATTAGGAAAATCTGTATTTCCCATTATGTAGACTGAAGGGAACTTACAGAATCAGAAAACAAAACACTGAAAAAGGGGTGAGGGTGGTGAAAACTATAGAACTGGGTTCCTTTTGCTTTTTTTCCCAGGGAAGAATATTTTACATTTGCTACTTTGACACATACTATTTTGAGAAAGAAGTTCAGAAATTCTGTCTGAAGTCAACTATCAATAGTTTAGGAAGGGACAGGGGAAAAAAAAAAGAAAGCCACGATTTATAATAAACCCATTTTAAGTGGATTCTCTCTTCATGGATGGTCATATATTAAAAGCTGAAGCAGATTGCTCAGCCCTATCCATTGGTTAAGGTTCCCATAATGAGTATAGTTTAGTCAACCAACAGCAGCTATAAGACACTTGGAAATATTCACAGACAACAGAATAATTTATTAGATGTCAAAATTAAGATGGGAAACTGCTTTCCTCTGGGAAGAGAGGGATTTTTTTTTTTTTAAAGTTAGAACTCAACTCTGCTATTAAATAGTGAAATCCCAAGCCTGAGCTTATCGCCATTTAACTACTAAGGGCTTTGGAAGTCCAAGTATATGAATCAGCCTTCTTCCTCCCTGATTCACTTATTTCTCATTTCTCCTCATTAGCCAACTTGGCACAATTAACCTGTGGACACATGGAGGACAGAGATAATGAACTTAGCACGAGAGTCACATTTTAGCAAGAGGACAAGTCTACTTCATTCATACTCTCTAGTCTAATAAAAACTTCTTTGCAGTATTTATTATCTAATCCGTTTCACCACTCACCGATTTCCAGAAAGAATATGTTAAGGAACTCACTCATGCATACACAATTCCTCATCCATCAAACTTGTTCCATCCACCACTAACTAATCAATTAACCAGAACCAGAGAGTGCTTTCAGTAGTACAAGATGATCAATGCAGGCCAAAGGGCTTAAAAGAGCATCTCTCTCCCCTCCTGGAGCTTGTGATTTAAGAACTTACAGGTTAGCTCTCTCCTCAATTAAGCGTCAAGAGATCAAAAGATCATTCGCATTACAAGACAGTATGCCCCAAGAGCCAGATGATGGGTTCAGCGATAAGTGCTCCTATAGTCCAGAAGGAAACATTATGGATTGGTGTGTTTAGAAGACACATTATGAAGAAGAGAGGGCTTAAACTTGACCTCAAAGGATGGACAGGCAGAGAAAGATCATGTGCTTTTCCATCGAAGGGGTTGGTGATTTCTACTGCTGTGACCCATGCCAGGAAACAACAGCTCTGGATAGAAATGAAATATCTCCCATGAACTCTTAGAATTCTACAAGACTTAGCTTTTGATTACTGCTTTTCGTACTTAGGACCTAGAGCAGGGGTCGGCAAACTTTTCAGATGGAAGAGCCAATCCTGTCCCTCACAAAAATTTAAATATTATTCAAAAGCAATAAAACAAATGAACTCACCATTATGTGAATAGTATCGTTTAAAAATTTTATAAATGAAACTATGATAGTTTTATTTTCATTTTCAATTTTACTTCAAAGCCACATGTACATACCCAAAGAGCCGCATGTGGCTCACGAGCCGCAGTTTGCTGACCCCGGGCTAGAGTGATGTTTTCCCAATAACTTATTAAGATTGGCTTTTGGGAATTAAGATGAAGAATCATCACATAACTGAACAAAAATCTAGAAAAACGAAGCCGCATAAAGAAAAGAGAATGGCTCCCAGGCCATTGAGTCAAGGCATTTCCCTCACTGAACTCCTTCACACATAGAATGAGAGAATACAAGTCCAGAGGGATTCCCGGCCTGCCAGGGAAGCCTGGGAGAGGTGACAGAGGCAAGGCCTAGCGATGCTTATCCACGAGGTCTCCAGGAAAGAGGCAACAGCGTTTGTATAGTCTGATGTCCAGGAAAGAGCTTCCTAAAGTGAGCACAGATGCAAGCTTGCTGCCAATGGACTTAGAGCATTTTTGGCCTCTTGCAAGATGGCTACTCCTGCTGTTCCACACACGTAGAGGCTAAGAGAATGTCCCGAAGTTTCCTCATTGATAAGTTGGTAGTAACTGCACCTCCTCTGCAGGAGTACTGTGAGGATTAATAGTACCTGACATTTAGTAAGGACTATGTAAGTGTGTGCAGTTGTTTTACCCTTATTTACTTTACAATCAGCATGTTGTCAGTTGAGAAAAGACTGAACTAACGATTATACCCACTTCCTCCACCGCCCATATCACCGATGACCCTACACAGGGAAATGAGAATCTGCTGGTTAGCAGCCACTGTATGGTACATGTAAGAGGCACCCACGCCCCGCAGGCCCTTGGCGGAGGATCACTCTGCCGCAGAACAGACACGCTGAAACCCCAGCAATAATGCCGCCAGCTCCAAGCCCCAGGGGAAAACTCACCACATAGAGCTTGCGCCAGATGACAGCCCATTCTCGCAGGGTGGACGTGAGCTCCTGCACCAGTGGGAGTTCACCAGGAATCACGGTCTCGTGCTGCCTAAAGAGAACCAGACAGATGCCCACGTGACTCCGAGTTGATCATCGCTGCTTTTCTTCACAGAGGTCAGATTCCCCAAAGCTCAAAGACGGGGATGGGGCAAGTTGGGCTTCAAACAAAGCAAAACTTGTCCGTTGCAGGGAGGTTTGTGTAGGAGATTTTATCACATCTAAGCGTCTGAGAAAAGAGAAAGACGGGAGGACCCTACAGTTCTCAAAAAGAACTCAGTTTTTGCAAGGCAATGGGCCCACGCCCAGCCTCGACTTCCCCGTTTTGCATTTCTATGGGAGCCTCAATTACCAAGCCGGCTGACTTCAGCCATGCCCAGGGATGGAAGCCAAACTCCAATATTTTAGCTGGGTCGGCCAAGCAGCCGTTTCTGCACAAGGGTCCTGGGGCTTGTAATCTCAGCCAGGACCTGCTGGCAGGGACTGAGGCGGTGCCGCTTTCTGGTAGGGTACAACGTTTTCTTCTCATCTGCTGCCTCACAGTGTAGAAACTGTATACATAGCAAACTCCTCCGTCACAGGAGAATGATAACAAGGTAGACCTGACATTTATTCACATAAATTCTCTCCGGTATTTTTATTCTCAGCAGAAGGAAGAAAGCAGAGAGTCAGAGCAAGCAAACACAAGGGGATCCTGGTAGGATGGCCAGAGTTAAATAAAAATGTAGGCTGCCCAGTTAAGTCTGAATTTCAGAAAGATTAAAATAATTTTTTAGTATGTTTCAGGAAATATCTGGGACATACTGTAAACAATTACCGTATTTCCCCATGTATAAGAC